ATTATATATATATATATATATATATATATATATATATATATATATATATATATATATATATATATATATATATATATATATTAACACCTTTATTTTCTTTCATTCTCAATTGTATAAATAATTTTTTTAATTTTTGTTGTTAATACTACAATTATTATTACGAACATATTATTCTAATTAATTTTTTTTTACTAAGCTCATTATATTTGTTATTCTAGCATTATATATGCTTAGATTTTTTTTTGTTTTTTATTTTATAAATAATATATATTTATTCTATAGGTAAGTTGACAATGTAGATTAAAAAGAGAAACAAATTATAATATTTAAAAAGTTTTAAAATTTTGATAATTTAGAGGGTAAAATAGGTATTTAACAATTAAAAATTTGAAAAATCTAGTTGAGTGACTTTCTGAGTGCAATAGGCATAGTTAAGTGACTTTGTTATTACAAACGAAAGAAAAATGACTTTAGAAGATAATTTGGGATAGTTGAGTGATCATTTGAGTAATGGACTCAGTTTTGACATCATGAATCCTTTGTTTGTAGGTAATTGATTGAGCGTTATTGTGTAAGCCAAACTTGTGATTGTGAATGGAATTGATGATTGAAGAGTGGTAGTTATATTGACAATTTTAAACTTTTATTATTATATTATTATAACTATAATGTTGATCTCTAACAGTTTTTGCACACTACTTTCTAATTTCCATTATTTTGCCAGAGGATAAAAGATCACAAGAATTAAAGAGCTTTATTTGACGATTACATCTCCCAGTTAATTCTAGGTTTGACCTTCAAATCCCCTGTCCAGGCTGAGTGAGCGATCTGGGATAATATTTAATACACCTTGTTGCTCTGCAAATTAAAGATGTACTTGCTTCAGTTAGTGCATAAAAACTGAAATTTTCACATTAGCTATCAATTAAGATTTTAAAAGTAATTAATCAGACTACTTGTGCAGTGATTAGAGTATATGTGAATATATTGAACGATTCATTAAAGCATCTTTTATATACTTCCACAAATGTTTAGAGATAAATCAAAAATATAAATTTCAAAATCCCCCAAAAAAAATACCCGGGGATTCCTATATAGACTTTTGGAAAAATATAAAATAGTACTTATATTAAACTGAAAATTTTACGTACAATGGACAATGTATAAACAATATATGAAATGACTTACCTCTAGTTGTGTGTATTTCTTATTAAACTAGCTATTAGATAACATATTAGAACAGTAGATAAAATGTCTCTTAAATTTTTATAAAAAATTGAACCATATATAAGTGTATGTTTCCTCTTTCTTAAAAATTTAATCAATTAATGACACACAATATTTAAATTCAAACTTACCTTTCAAACGAGAAGCCTGTTCAGGAGTCAATGAAGCTGCAAATCCATTTAATTCGTTTTTATAATTATATATAATTGCCTCTTTCGCTGCCTCCTCACTAAAAGTTAAAAAAAGAATTATAAATATGAGACATTATATATCCTTAATTTATAAGCATTTGAATATTAAACATGATATTAAAATAAGGAAAATAGGGATATGAACCTTCCCATTACTGTGGCTAAGATATTTTCATAATCAGAATTCTCAGTAAAAACAATGTAAATCTTCTTGTCTTCCTCTGGAAAAGAAGCTGTTTTTGCTATAATAAAGGAAAAATGAGAAATCAAAATTAGAAATGTGAAAGTTGTTGATGACAAATATTTGCATTGAGCCATTGTGATTTAATTTTATGGAAATTAGAAATGGATGGGAATTAAGATTTTGGTTTATTAGGTGATGAAGATGGTGATAAAAGGAATGGAGCTTGGTGTATAATTTATATTTTCGAAAGAAGTTTTAGATGCTAAGCACCTAGCTAGAGCATTAATTGAATAGGAGTAACTTACTGAAGTTTCATTTTTGACTTTAATATGTCGGTTTACTGTAATTACAAAGGAAAGAAGTTTTAACTGATTTATTTAAGTGTATTGATGTCTTATTTTGACTTATTTAATTCTAGAGTTGTCAATTAAAAGACGCCGAGTACAGTTGAAGATGATCTATTATGTGCCATGCCTACTTACAATATGAATATTTTAAAAAAAAATAACTAGAAAGATTGATTCTTTTTTATTTACGGATCTTTTATTTACTGATGTCTTATTTAGGATCTTTGAGTACGCTAAGCTTAGGTGTTGGCTCAATAGCAGTGTTTGCTAAATATCCGATGAGGAGAGTTTCATCTGAATTTAAGTTCAGCTCAACATCTTCTATATGTTGATGCATGATTAGATGCACTTTCTTAACCTTTGCCTAAACAAATTACCTAAGCACGAACAATCGAGATGAACAAAAAGCTGCGAAATAATGAAAATTGCACGTTAATCAGACATTATGTGTAAAAGCGGAATAATAAAAATTCAACGTGTTATTAACTCTAGCATAGACATATATGTTTTTTTTCTTCAAAAATTGAAGTTTAACGGTTAAAAGTGAAATAACAAAAATTAAGGGTTTTGATAAATGAACAGAAGGGCATGTTTTTTAGTATGTTTGCATATTATTTCTCATGTGAGTTGCGGGGAAATTACATGATTTTTGCAGTGAAATATGCTCATTTATGTATTTCTTGTGTGTAGGAGTAAGTTTGGATGATAAGTGATCAAAATATCAATTTGTTGCTAAAAGGAAAAGATGGAAGAACTGAGGGAGCTCATCCATTTTCGCGCATGGGCATGAAAACAGACGCGAAAAAGGAGAGAATTGAATGCACAAAACAGCGAAGTGAGGCGAAGGCACAGATCTCTTCGCGAAATGAAAAACTTTCAAAAGTTGACGCGAATTCTGACTTTCCTATCCGAGATTGGATTGATTAGTTCCGACCCATACAAACCCTAATCGATGTAAATATATCCTAAAATGTGCTTTTAAGGGGGAGAAGACTTTGGAGAGGAAAAACACGCTAAGAGCAAGGTGAAAGATTCGCCAACAAGTTTTTCCTTTTCTTCTTTCAATTTTCATTATTGGTTATGAATTTTAGTATTGTAGTTTTACATACTATCATGAGTAGCTAACTTCTTATCTAGAGTTTCTTGTTACGTTTTAATATAATTTAACTTTAGATTTCTCTACTTGTCTAACTTCGTGATTATTTTAGTTGATTGAATGGACAACAATTGATTGTGCCTATTTATTATATATTGCTTGAGAAATGGTACATATTTAGGTGGTTGTTAAACAACGTCACTCCTAACGTATATGATGAATCAATATGACGGATTTAAAGGTAGGTTTAGAAATAACAAAGTCTTGATATGGTCATAGTGAGCGGTAAGATAGTGCCAGCTAGCGTAGTTCAGAAGAATATGTCTAGTAAATTATTGTAATTGCTCGGGAGAGAATTACGATACCTGAAATGCTCACGATCAGTAGAGAATACTTAGGCGAAATTATAGAAGACATAGCAGGATGGATTCCGACAATTGAGAAAATCATAACTCTAGGCCTCCTTAATTTTTTTGTCCAACCCTTAATATCTCTAGTTGTTAACTAATACTTTAATTTGTTAGTTAATTAGTTAGATATAAGAATCTTAATATTTATAACTTAAGAATTGTTCGAGCTTGTCTTCTTAGTGATAGTGATCAGTTGTAGCTAAAGCTTAGTTCTCTGTGGGATTCGTCTCTGGACTCTTAGACTGGATTATATTTGCAATGACCGCTTATCCTTTTTAGGAATAGAGTTGGGTGTGATCAGGTCTATTTAGAAAGCTATATGTAATTAAATGGTTGTGTAATTACTTAGGATAGTGATTATACACCCCGGTAATTACATAGTATAGTACTTATAATGACAATGTAATTTTAACTGATATTTTATTGGATAAGTGTAATTACGTAGTTAAATAAATATTATTTAGATTAACCTATCAAAATATATTATAAACTATATTAAATAATTATAAATTCATAAATAATATCATAAAATTAGAAGTATCTTTCAAATAAATAATATTATTACTTAATTGAATTAATCAAAATACAATAACGATTTAAATTTTTTTACTATCTCATTAATGTGTTATATATATATANGGCTCAAAATAGTAAAGTGAATTATAAGATAAGGAAAGTAAGAAAGAGAAAGCGTTGTTGATTATTCCCTTGTCGGGACGTTTGGTTGAACTTGTTGGAATCTTTCCCTTGCCGGAATGTTTGTCAAATATTTGCTTATTTTGTGCCCCTTAATTGTGACTGTTGTTTGGGAAGTCAAGACTGTTAAATGATATTGAGGATCGGGTTGCGCGCCGCAACAATGATGTTGAGGATCGGGTTGCACGCCGCAACAATAATATATGAGGATCGGGTAGCGCGCCGCAACAATAATATATGATAAGTGATATGGGTCGGGTTGCACGCCGCAACAATGATATTGTGGAGCGGGTTGCACGCCGCAACAATGGTAATTATGGAGCGGGTTGCACGCCGCAACAATTGTTGAGGCTATGTGTTTGTATTTGAGTATTGATTCCTTGTTCGCTGTGAACCTAAGTTACTTTAGTTATTACTCTGGATTATTGTTATTATTGTAACTCCCCATAGCATGTTTCCCCTCCCATGTTGGTAATTGCTTTGTATTCGATTTCCGCTGTATATCTATAACTGCACAAGTTTATGTGGTATCCGGTCTAGCCTCGTCACTACTTCGCCGAGGTTAGGCTAGACACTTACCAGCACATGGGGTCGGTTGTGCTGATGCTACACTTCTGTGCATTTTTGCACAGGTCCAGGTTTTGAGGAGCAGCAGCAACAGTAGTTCGGAAGCAGGCGATTCGTATTCACGAGACTGAGGTAGCCTTGCAGGCGTCCGCAGGCCCGACGTCTCTTCTCATTGTTTTCTTTTAGACTGTTGCCTCCTTGTTTCGAGACAGACAGTTGTTATATTTCTTTCAGACCTTTGTATTTAGTTTATTCTTAGTGGTTCGTGAGTAATGTGACACCAATTCTTGGGTAGAGGTTGTTTTGACTATTCCGCGTTTTAAATTCACCATTTTTAAGACAGACTTCCGCTATTGTTCTTATTAGACTTAAGTTCTATATTGATGTTATAAACTGTTAAAGATAATTGCTAGTGATGGAAAGGTAATTAAGTTGGCTTGCCTAGCTACCACGAGTAGGCGCCATCATAACTCTGATGGTGGGAAATTCGGGTCGTGACAAGTTGGTATCAGAGCACTAGGTTACATAGGTCTCATAACTCACGGACAAACTTAGTAGAGTCTGAGGAGTAGGTACGGAGACGTCTGTACTTGTTCCCCAGAGTCTATTGAGTTAGGAAAAATCTCTCATTTGTTCTTTCTTGTCGTGCGAATTGGTTTCTTAAATGCTGATTGAATTTCCACTCTGTTCTTTCGCAGATGGCGAGAACACGCGCTTCCTCATCCACCGATCAGCAGTCTGAGCCCGAGGCAGCTCCCGCTAGGGGCAGAGGACGTGGCCGTTCTAGGGGCCGAGGTAGGGGCAGGGCCCAGCCACCAGCAGCAACACCAGTGGCGGACCCTCAGGTTGGCCTTGACGAGGAGGTTCCGACCCCAGCTCAGACAGTTCCGGTGGGCCCAGCTCAGGTCCCAGAGGGGTTTATTGCTACCCCAGTTCTTCAGGACGCCTTGGTCCGATTGGTTGACCTCATGGAGAATGTCACCCGAGCAGGATTGCTTCCTGCAGCACCAGCCACTCCCCAGGCTGGAGGAGGAGCCTAGACTCCTGCTGCACGTACTCTGGAGCAGGTAGCTCCCCAGACTCAGATCCCACCGGGCCAGCCAGCTGTTGCAGTTCAGCCGGGGGTAGTTGCACAGGCCGGTGATGGAGCGGCTATGTCTGCTGATGCTTTGTGGAGGCTGGACATGTTCACCAAGCTTTTCACTGCTACATTCAGCGGAGCTTCTTCTGAGGACCCCCATGATTTCTTATACAGCTGCCACGAGGTTCTTCGAAACATGGGCATTGTGGAGTCCAATGGAGTTGATTTTGCGGCTTTTCGTCTATCCGGATCCGCCAAGACTTGGTGGAGGGATTACTGTTTAGCCAGACCAGCAGGGTCGCCGCCTTTGACTTGGGATCAGTTTTTAGAGTTGTTCCTGGAGAAGTTTCTCCCCGTTACTCAGAGGGATGCTTATCGGAGGCAGTTTGAGCGCCTCCAGTAGGGGTCTATGACAGTCACTCAGTATGAGACCCGGTTTATCGATCTAGCTCGCCATGCCCTCGTCATACTTCCCACTGAGAGGGAGAGGGTGAGGAGATTTATTGACGGTTTGATCCAGCCCATTCGTCTTCAGATGGCCAGAGAGGCGGGTAGTGACATTACATTTCAGGAGGCGGCCAATGTGGCCCGGAGGATTGAGATGGTTCTGCCACAAGGGGGTGGTCATAGGTCAGACAAGAGACCCCATCACACAGGTCGATTCAGTGGTGCCTCACCTGGAGGCAGGGATTCTTATGATAGGGGTCAGTCTTCCAGGCCCTTTCAATCAGCCCTCCGAGCTTCGCAGGGTCCTCCAGGCGATCGTGGTTCTCGTGGGCAGTATTCTGATCAGCAGCCCATCAGTGCGCAGCCTCTTCAGAGTTTTCGTGGAGGTCATTCGGGTCGTCAGGGCCAGTCTCATCGTACAGAGGGATGTTATGAGTGTGGCGAGTATGGTCACATCAGGAGAGCTTGCCCGAGATTGAGGGGTACACAGTTACAGCAGCAGGGTCCTCGCCCCATGATTCAGGCACCAGGTGACCCACAGCCTGCCCAGCCAGCCAGGGGCAGGGGTAGGGATCATAGAGGTGGAGGCCGAGACCCTAGAGGTGGAGGCCGGACCGCCAGAGGTAGGGGTCAGCCGGTAGCCGATCGTCCCAGAGACATGGTTCAGGGAGGTGGGGCTGATCCCCGATTTTATGCTTTACCAGCCAGACCAGAGGCCGAGTCGTCAGATGCAGTTATTACAGGTACTATTCTGGTTTGCGATAGAGATGCGTCAGTGCTATTTGACCCTGGGTCTACATATTCATATGTGTCGTCTTATTTTGCACCCTGCCTGGCTATGTCTAGTTATGCTTTGGGCATTCCTGTTTATGTATCTACACCGGTGGGTGACTCTATAGTAGTCGACCGGGTGCATCGTTCCAGTGTGGTTGTGTTTGAGGGTCTAGAGACCCGTGTTGATTTACTGCTTTTAGACATGGTGGATTTCGACGTTATATTGGGGATGGATTGGTTGTCCNNNNATATATATATATATATAAGAAATTCTAGATATTATTTATAATCAGGTACTTAAATTATTATTTTTTTTAAAAAAAATTAAAGAACTATACATTGGTAACTAATATCGAAAAAATTATCAGTATCTTGACTATATTTCAAATAAATAATATCTTAACTTGAATTAAATAATAAAAGTTTCAACTATGAATTTAAAATGTTTACCAACTCATATGAGTAAAATATAAAATTTATGATTTATTGTACTTTTTAAACAACAAAACATATAAATACGAGTGTAAAAAGTATTTTTTTTAATTATTATTTTATACAAATAAATAAAGCTAGTAAACTATGAAATTGTATTTAACAACTAAGAAAAATAAGGAAAATAGAAAAAGAAGAAGCAAAATATGAGAAGTTGCAAAATTATATGGCAGCACACAATAAGCAATATGTTGGAAGGTTAAAGAATGAGAACAATGGAAATAGGAAAAAAAAATAGTACTTAATATATTTGAAAAAAAAAATTAAAGTTATATTATGTTGTGATTACACAGTATAATTAACATCAATTCTCACCTCCTTGAGAATTGGAGAATATATGTGACGACCCAAAGGGTCATCACCTGTTTCCTCATCCGTTCCGTGCTTCCGAGGCCTTGAAAACCTCATTCTTACTTGCCTCGATTTGCGTGCACAGTCCGAGGGCATAGCTGGGAAGCTTTTATGTTGAAATATGTAAATTCTGTGAAAAATTTGAAGAATTTTGATATTAATATGTTGAAGGTTGACTTCGGTCAACATTTTTGGTAAACGGACCCGGACCCAAGATTGGACGGTCCCGGAAGGTCCGTAGAAAAATATGGGACTCGGGCATGTGCCCGGAGTCGTATTCCGAGGTCTAGAGCCCGAGAAATGAATTTTTCTGTGAAATTGTTTTTCTGAAATTATTAAGGAAAATGGAAATAAAAATTGATTAAAAGACTGTGGTATCGGGCTCGTATTCTGGTTCCGACGCCCGGTACAAGTCTTAAATATGTGTTAAGCGCTTTCTGTAAAGTTTGGTCGAAATCGGACGTCGTTTGACGTGTTTCGGACCTAAATATCTAAAGTTTGAAGTTTATGAAGTTTGAAAGGAAAATGATGAGTTTGAGGCTTGATTCAATGATTTTGATGTTATTTTGGCAATTTGATCGCTCGAGTAAGTTCGTAGGATGTTATTGAGTTAGTGTGTGTGTTTGGTTAGGAGCCCCGAGGGCTCGGGAGTGAATTGGAGGTGGTTCGGGGTATTTTTACACTTGGAAATAGGATCAGATTTTCTGTTGCAGACCTTTGTTCTTCGCGAACGCGGCCCTAGGCACGCGTTCGCAGTGCCTTGTTATCTCCTCCATCGCGTTCACGTGTTCCCTACCGCGATCGCGTAAGCTAAATTCAAACCCCAGTATTTCCCTTCATCGCGTTCGCGTTCTGGCCGTCGCAATGGCGATGGTCTATTCTGTTCTCTATCGCGTTCGCGTCCCTATGCACGTGTTCGCGTAGGCCAATCTTGGACCCCCCCAGTAGTTCTTCTACGGGATCGCGTATTCCTCCACGCGATCGCGATGACCAGTCAGTGGAACCCTTCGCGATCGCATCCCTGTTTCCGCGATCGCGTAGGGCAATTTTGCCCAGCGATTTTTTAAAAAACAGAAACAGTAGCTACGGGTTTTATCACAAAAATACACGAGCTCTTCTTCTCCACAACCCCTAGGCGACTTGTAGAGCGATTCTTCATCAAACATTCTTGGGTAAGTGGTATCTAACTTGTTTCCTTCGATTTCCTTCATTAATTAGTGAATTCCTAGCCCTAAAAACATGAAATCAAGGTAGAAATTATGGGTTTTGGATAGAGTTAGGGTTTTGAGAATTTTGGGTGATTCAACCTCAATTTGGGGTCGAATCTTAAAACAAATTATATCTTTGGACTCGTGGGGTTATGGGTGATTGAGTTTTGGTCCGAGCCTCGAGTTTCGACCATGTCCCCGGTGTCTAATTTCGGGATTTTTGGAATAATGCTAGGAAATTCATATCTAGGCTACGGGATGTTACCATTGAGTCTTTATTGATATTATTAAATTGATTATGCCTAGATATCACGGAATTGGAGGTTGAATCACGAGGTAAAGCAATAGTTGAGGATTAAGCGGATCCCAAGGCTTTGAGGTAAGTGTTTGGTTTAACCCTAGCTTGAGGGAATAGGAGTTGAATCTTGTTGCTAATTGCTATGTGATCGAGTATGATGTATAGGCATGGTGACGAGTATCTATACATTGGTGTCTAGCATGACCGTGAGTCTTTATAATGTAATTATCGTGACTTGGTTATGAACTCCGTTTTTATTGGAGGATTTCTAGTTGTTGTGAATAATATTTGAACGGTAATAGGATCATTTGATTCCTGGAGCATTGGCTCGAATTGTAATACGAATATTGAAAGTATACGAAATGACTTGATTCTTGGAGCGTTGGCTCAAAATAGTAAAGTGAATTATAAGATAAGGAAAGTAAGAAAGAGAAAGCGTTGTTGATTATTCCCTTATCGGGACGTTTGGTTGAACTTGTTGGAATCTTTCCCTTGCCGGAATGTTTGTCAAATATTTGCTTATTTTGTGCCCCTTAATTGTGACTGTTGTTTGGGAAGTCAAGACTATTAAATGATATTGAGGATCGGGTTGCGCGCCGCAACAATGATGTTGAGGATCGGGTTGCGCGCCGCAATAATGATATTGAGGATCGGGTTGTGCGCCGCAACAATGATATATGATAAGTGATATGGGTCGGGTTGCACGCCACAACAATGATATTGTGGAGCGGGTTGCACGCCGCAATAATGGTAATTATGGAGCGGGTTGCACGCCGCAACAATTGTTGAGGCTATGTGTTTGTATTTGAGTATTGATTCTTTATTCTTTGTGAACCTACGCTGTTTTTAGTTGTTACTCTGGATTATTGTTATTATTGTAACCCCCCATAGCATGTTTCCCCTCCCATGTTGGTAATTGCTTTGTATTCGATTTCCGCTGTATATCTATAACTGCACAAGTTTATGTGGTATCCGGTCTAGCCTCGTCACTACTTCGCCGAGGTTAGGCTAGACACTTACCAGCACATGGGGTTGGTTGTGCTGATGCTACACTTCTGTGCATTTTTGCACAGGTCCAGGTTTTGAGGAGCAGCAGCAGCAGTAGTTCAGAAGCAGGCGATTCGTATTCACGAGACTGAGGTAGCCTTGCAGGCGTCCGCAGGCCCGGCGTCTCTTCTCATTGTTTTCTTTTAGACTGTTGCCTCCTTGTTTCGAGACAGACAGCTGTTATATTTCTTTCAGACCTTTGTATTTAGTTTATTCTTAGTGGTTCGTGAGTAATGTGACACCAATTCTTGGGTAGAGGTTGTTTTGACTATTCCGTGTTTTAAATTCACCATTTTTAAGACAGACTTCCGCTATTGTTCTTATTAGACTTAAGTTCTATATTGATGTTATAAACTGTTAAAGATAATTGCTAGTGATGGAAAGGTAATTAAGTTGGCTTGCCTAGCTACCACGAGTAGGCGCCATCACGACTCTGATGGTGGGAAATCCGGGTCGTGACAATATAATTACACCCTGTCAATTACACTCAATTCCATATTGATTAAGTAATTACCTGGCGAACATGTCAAACTATATAATTACACTCAATTACAACTAAATCCAATTCTTAGGTGTTTTTCCAAACAAGCTCTAAATGTTAGTCGATATTGATTTCTCCTACTGCGTTTTGTCACACATATTTGGAAAAGTGCTTGTGATTTAACCATTCAGGAAATTAGGCCGAATCTCATTTTTTGGTAGTACGAAGGGGGAATTGGCCCAAAAATTGGATGGGGGTCAAGACGGTGTCGGGCGCCGGCGGCTGACTCAAGTGCCCCCCGAACCGCGCGAAATGGTCGCCTATTATACGGAGAATAATTCAATTAGAATAATTTATGGTTGGCTTGGTTGGACTAAAAAAATGAAGTATCCACGCTCTATTTAGAAAAAACCCAATTGGATTGGTAAGATATCTATGATTGCTATATATTTTTTCTTTGTAAAGAGATCCTAATTGTCAAGCAAAGTTATCTCAACTCTAAGAAATCTTGTATAAAATGAATTGGAAAAAAAAAAAGAAATACAAAAAGAAATGGTAATGGGAGCATTTGTCCTATATGTACAAATCCAAATCGGGCGGATCTTTACCCGGAGTAGAGCATATACCTAAAAAGATGAAACAGACCCATTCAGGAACAAGAAAATACCATCGCGGTTTTTGTTAATGTTGCAATGAGCATAATTTCAGGTGGTTGATACCAAAAGAAGCTAAAAATCTGGTTCACAGAATACAAATGATCCTGTAGCTGTGGTTGGTTAGTTCACGTAATAAGTATTAATATCAAATCTAAAACAAATAGGAGTAGTCACTATAAAATGTACCTTGGAACCCCTACTTTTTACATCAAGATTTAAGCCAAAAAACAGACTATAGTGCATCAGTAAAAATGGAGGGGAAAAAAGTGATGGCAATAGCATTAATGCTTATAATTTTAGTAGAGGGATCAATGGCTGGAGATTATGGGAGCTGCATTGTTGACTGCATTAAAGACAAAGCCATTGATTGTATTATGGAACCTCAGATATGTCTCCCTGCTTGTGCTGCAAAATGTGCCATTCAACTTCCTTCTTCATCAACACATGCTGCAAATTATGCTTGTAATATTGGATGTGCTTTGAGCCAATGCAAGAACTTCATGATCCTAAATGGTCTCTCTCTCTCTCTAGAACTCTAGCTCCACCTCTGTGTGTGTACATATACAAGATGAAAATTCCTTTTGTTTGCTCACTGTGATAACTAATTAATTTTTTAATATTTCAGATGGAGAGAAGCTTGGAGTATGCATGGCTAGTTGCAGTGACAAGTACTGTGCCACAAAGGCTGCAGCTGCTTGATGAACTTGGTTTCTTATATGTTTCTACTTGTAGTATCTAGTAATAATATCAATAATTTTGGAGGCTAAGAATAAATGCTCACCTCTATTGTTGCCCTCATGGAGGAACTAGGCTGAATACTGTGTGCTGTGAATGTGATCTTATGACATTCAAATATATGAAAGTTCTATCTTTCAGTTTATGAATTTCTAGCAGTGTTCAACTTATTGTTCTACATGTACAAATGTCACGACCCAAAATTGGAAGATCGTGATCACCACCCGACGAGCTTGACAACCATCAAGCGAACATCTAACCTCATCAGACGATAAAGCAATGAAGCATGCACCAGAACACTGCGTACCATCACATAACACCCAAATGGAGCACCTTGTAGTTTCAATGTATAATAACAATCATCATGAACTAACAAGTTGGAGCAACGGTCATGTTGTCTCCGTGTGACCTATAGGTCACGAGTTCATACCGTATAAAAGTGTCAAAGAAAGAAATGAAGCGTGTACTTGTAGTTTCAAAGAAAGAAATGACAAAAGGAAACTAAAACCTAAAAATACAATGGTCGCTGTGTAAAGTCTCCATTGGACACCCCTGGCTCTGTCAAGTAGAAGTGCTCGTGATGGCCACTACAAAAATTGAGGTGTTTTAACTGAAAATGGTGCCCAATATTATCCTATATCTGCTTAGTGAATTCATTATTTAAATTAAAAAAAAGAAGAAGAAGAATTGTCTAAAGTATATACTCTTGGATCTGTCGAGGCTGGCATGACTCGAGTCTAATTGAACATATCAGATGATAACTTGCCTAGAAGCAAAAACAGTACTAATTTGTGGAAAACAATCCAAACTTAAACATATGTTCAATAGAGAAAATGACCTTGTTTAGATCAGCTAGGAGCTGATATCATCCATAAAACCGTGCAACTGGAAAAGGAACTGTATGAAGTTAAAATCACATGTAAGGTTCTATAACGTTGCAATAAGTGGAACTTATACTTATCTGCCGACGCAGAAGGATAAAAAAGATTGAAATCGTCAACCAAAAATAGTTTATCCACAATCTGCCCATCTTTCCCAATGAAAGGTTCTCGCACAAGTCTTTAACTAGGACCTATATATCGTCTTTGCAACGATCATTAGAAAATATTCAAAAATATATATGTACAAGAAAAAGAAAAGGACATTATATTAATAAAGTTGATGCCGCAACTGCACAGTGAAAGTCATGAAGTTTCACATTCACAGCCCAGTAGTGCAAAATTATTTGGACATTAGCAATTTGATGTACAATTCAGTTACTGATGACACTCGAGAAGAGAAGCCGCTTTAACTCATAGGGCTCCCTCTTGTTTCCCAAAAATTTCAACATACTCATCTAAAGGGAATAAAATCATTCCTAATAAAGATTCCAAAAATTAAGATAATATCACCTAATCATCCTACATAACTAGCACAAATGAACACGATCATGGGATAACTTACATCAGCTACCAATGCCAACGTCCCCAGCTGCGGAATCCTTTCATAATAAGCTTTCACACAAGTGCTTCAATTAAAATCATTTAGCTTTCTTTTGATCAGAGACTCTTGCTCCCATAATCTTGACAACAGGATGATCCTTTGGTTGGACAAGCTTCAAAGCTGGATGAACTTTCAGATCACCCATTACCAACTTTTGGCCAACATCCAACTCACTTAAATCTACGTCAATGTAAGGAGGGATGACATCCGCAGGACATAGATACTTTACCGTTCTCTTGATAATATTCAAATACGACCCTGCCACATGAGTTAACTAATGATTAATAAAAAAAATCCAAAAAGAAAAAGAAAGTGCAAGCACATAGGTAATGACTATGGCCTCGGATGTTATCCGGAATGAGGTCACTAAGACTGAATCATCATATGGAAGTCACGTAATCTGTAACTGACTAGCCGACACTTCTGCCAACCTTGTCTGGTTCAATACCATTTTATCCTACCTCGCTCACTGTCCCTCATGCTTAAAGCCTGTTCTTTGTCACCACTTACCTAGATAGATATGGCTTGTTTCCTGTCATCATTTTGTAATTCAGCAAGGTGTACTGTCTTTCTGAAATTGATCATCAATCTAAGAGAAGCACTAATTATGTAGCTCACTTTCTCAGAGTATCAAGAAAACATATATTAGCTGACAGATCTCATGCCCTCCGCCCTCAAACAGATGTTGGATTCATGTGCTGAAGCACAACTAAGAGGAGAGAGAGAGAGAGAAAGAGAGAGAGAGAGAGAGAGAGAGAGAGAGGCATCAATTGGCCTACTGCTATTAAAAATTGAAAAGAAGCATCCTTTTATCAGATCTACTCTTTATACTTTATCCCTCTTTTAGTTACTCCAATCTCTGTAATAACTTTTTATAGTTAGATGGGTAAAAGGGAAGTTAAAGTTTGTGGTTTTAGTCGTATATCTGAGCTTATAATCACTTAATCAGGTTATTACCTGACAACTGATGTATACTCTCCAATACCAAACTTACTACTCAAGGTGGATAAATTTTGAAGTAACCGTAAACATATTTGAAAAAAACAGTGAGTTGTATGATCATTAAACAAATTTATGTTCCATCAGTTCCATTAAGAAAATTTTGGTCTACATGCAAAGACACCGATCTGATTGGCTTACTGAGTTATTACGTGCTTGTAAGTGTGGTAAAAATTTTGAAACACTTAAACTTAAACTCTTTTGCTTTAGAATTCATTGTTTTCCTTCTAAGCCCTCGTGGAAATTACAGTTGATAACTGCCTAGGTGGAATGACAGGGACCTAACTATATTACTAGAAGATGACAGCTTGCGGAGGCCTTTTTCAAAGAGGAAGAGGACTGCACCATAAATGATAGTGCTGGAGAACAACTTCATGGCCATGATGGCTTTACTACAACTTTTCACCAAAAATGTTGGCACATCTTTAGAAATGGGGTACTCGAAAGTTTCACCAAATCTACCTTGAAGGAAGATCTGAGAAGAACTTCATTACTCTAATTAACTTAGCCCTTAAGAAAAGGGGCAACTGAATTAAGAGATTACAAGCCGATCAGTTTGACCGGAAGTATTTATAAAAGTACTGCAAAAGCACTTGCTGAAAGACTAAAGAGGCAATAGATAAATTGATTTAGGGGACTACAAATGAATGGCATATCATCAATTACGGCTAGGAGAACCTGGAGTTCTACGCAAAGTTGACATAGTGAAGGCTTACGATCGTGTTAACTGGAACGTCCTCCTGAATAATAAAATGATAGGATGTGTTTTCATGGATGATACAGTGTATCTCTTTGGTCAAGATTGTCGGAGCTGGGATGGATAGTAGGGTTTTCTTGTCTTTGCCCCCCAAGGCTTAGACGGATAGGAAGAATTAACCTAACATTTTTTTTAACCTATACTAGGATTTGAACCCTGATCTCCATGGTCTATTCCAGTTTCATTGACCGTTAGACCACACACTTGGGGCTCTACCTTGACAAGAAACTTCTATGTCCATCAATAACCGTAAATTTTTCTATTGAATGAATTCAAGAAACTAGTCATTATACCTCTGAGATAAAAAATAAAAAATAAAAAAAAACGGTGCAAGTGTAACATATGATAAGCTTGTTTCAATATATCCCCGCGCGAATCAGCATACTTAAGAAATTAAAGACATCGTAAAATCAGCATATGTAGCAAGTCACAAGTTACTCGCCTTTCTTCAGCCCGGGGGACACATCCTCTCCTCTAAATACGAGAGGAACATCAACCTTTAATAAAGCACTTGATGGAGCTCGTATAAATGTAACATTAAGAGGCGCATCTGAACCAGCTTCCAGATGAACCTGAACATTGAAATAGATAAATCAGCACACCTGGCCACTAAAAGCCATGTAAAGCTCTGTTTGGCTCCAACAGCTTCATAATTCTATAAAAGGTCCTCCTTTTGAACCAAGACAAGCAATTCCGGAGTTAAAACCCACCTAAATACCACAAATCTCAGCATGATGATAAAAATATCTCACAGTGGCAACAACTGTCGACCATCATTCTGTTTTAGAAATGCCACAAGACTAGTGACAAGAACAACCCATTAATCATCATCAAACTTTAAATGTGAATATTATATTTCCAAATAGAAAGTTTTGCAAGTTTTTCACAAGCACTTTGTTGCTTTCACACTTGTGGCTGCTTCATTTATGGGGGCATCATAGTGACTATTTGCAATGGAAGCTAATATCAACTCCTATATAGGACAATATAATCCACAAAAAAAAGATTTAGAACCTTGCTTTCTTTGAAGCCTATATCAACTCAAGAAGCTCCACTTTTATCCCTTTAAGTGTGTGAAACTCGGTCTAAATCTAGGGGTGTGGCCCATGAAGTGAGTGAACCATGGGATACCAAGTCCATTTCTCATTACGACCCCCCCCCCCCCAAAAAAAAGGAAAAAAGGTGATTCTTCTTATCTACCTAAGTCTTGGTAGGCAGAGTGATCAAATACATGTGTTGATGTGAGCCAGCAGGTACTGGGTGTACCCGGTGGAATAGTCAAGGTGTGTGCAACCTGACCTGGATACTACCATTATCAACCAAAAAAAATGTGTGTGAATTCAATCAGTCATAACCAGTGCCCTACACCTAGTAAGCATAAGATTGCAGCCAGCTTCAAAGCTACTTAATATTTAAATAAGAGTATAATTTGACTAACCCAAAGGTTAGGGGGATAAGCTGTCGCTAGCTGCTTAGTCAGAAACACAGAGTAAAACGCTAGAAGCAAAAAGAAAAAAAAAACATATCAGAAGGTATGAAAATGTGAAGATGAATCTTTTCCCCGGAGCTGGAAAAACTTGTTCTTCCTGACTCAACTCAATTCACACACTAACAAAGAGTAGGCAAAACCGGTATCTGCAGATCAATTCAAAATAACAAAACCTAAGATAATACAACAAAAAAGTACCTTTCTGGGCAAAACTCGAACCTTCTCAACAACCTCAACAGAGTCAAAGTCGGGGCGAACCTCAAGATCAAACAACCTGGACAAGAAATGGGACCTACCAAGATGGTTAACTAGCTTCCTAATCTGATTAGCCTGAACAGAAATGAGCCTTTTGTTACCCCCATGTTGACCGTCTTCCTGTTCGAACACTATGCTCGGTACTCGCCCTGCTTTCCTCTCTTTTG